CTGGGCGTTCCTGGGCCCTCCTGTGCTCCAGACGACCGCACCCTGGGTGGGCTGGATCACGTGTTTTTACGTGTGCAGGCCACCCAGGGGGGTATCTAACATGGTGGTCTCGAGCTGGAACCATGTGTTTTTACGTGTTCAGGCCACCCAGGGGGATATCTAACATGGTTGTCCCGAGCTTGAATCACGTGTTTTTGCGTATCCAGGCCACCCAGAGGGGGTATATAACATGATTGTTCTGAGCAATGACCGTGTGTTGTAACGAGTCCAGGCTATTCAGGGGTGTATGTAGCATGGTTTCCCGAGCTGGCACCATGTATTTTTATGTGTCTAGGCCATCCAGGGGATATCTAACATGGTTGCTCCGAGCAAGGACCATGCATTTTAAGGTTCCGTAGCGCGTCCCCTCGGCACGTCCCGCGGTGCGTCCCCGTGTCACGTCCCCTGGCACGTCGCCTGGCGCGTCCCTTGGGACGTTCCGCGGCGCGTCCTCCTGGCATGTTCCCCTGTCAAGTAGCTCTGGGGCAGCTACTATGTGCTGAGGCAGCTCGAGCTTAAGATCCAGATCAGTTCGGTCAGGACTCGGATGCAAAGGAGGACTCGATCCACAACGCTATAGAGCACAATCGCGGCATGGCACATGGCAGTTTAGCACAGCGCACCACATCACAGCCCTCGGCACGGTACCTCAAGATCGATACACTCAGCATTGCAATCTGGCACGTTCCGTGGCGCGTCCCGTGGCGAGTCCCCCTGGCACGTCGCACGGCGCGTCCCCTGGCACGTCCCGTGGCACGTCCATTGGCACGTTCCGTAGCGCGTTCCCTCGGCATGTCCCGCGGTGCGTCTTCGTGGCGCGTCCCTTGGCACGTCGCCTGGCGCGTCCCTTGGGACGTTCCACGGCGAGTCCTCCTGGCATGTTCCCCTGTCAAGTAGCTCTGGGGCAGCTACTATGTGTTGAGGCAGCTCGAGCTTAAGATCCAGATCAGTTCGGTCAGGACTCGGATGTGAAGGAGTACTCGATCCACAACGCTATAGAGCACAATCGCGGCATGGCACATCGCAATTCAGCACGGCGCTGCACAGCACAGCCCTCGGCACGGTGCATCAAGATCGATACACTCAGCATTGCGTTTGCCCGTCGCCCAATCAGGTGTTTTCCAAACGTTGCCATGCCTTACATGTCTATATTCCTTTCCGGGTTCGTGGGTCTTTGGCCGATGTGATTCGTGTGCGATTCAAATGTGGTTCGTCTGAGGAATTCGCCAGAATCCAAAGATGGTCTCTTCGGGAATCTGAAGAATTCCGGTTGATCCGACCAATTCCCAGATTCTTGGGAGGGCCTCCTAGGGAATCCCGGGAATTCCCAGGGATCCGACCAATTGCCAGATTCCTGAGAAGGATCCCTAAGGAAGTTTAAGAATTCTTGCGGGTCCGACCACTTCCCAGATTCTTGGGAGGGCCTCCTAGGGAGGGAGCCCTAGGAGTTTTCTGGGATCCCACCAATTCCAATATTCCTGAGAGGGCCTCTGAGGGAATCCTAGGAATTCCGAAGGACCCTAGCAATTGCCAGATGCCTGGGATGGCCGCCTTGGCAATCCCAGGAATTCCCAGGGATCCTACCAATTTTTCAGATGCCTGGGAGGGCCTCCTAAGGAAGCGCAAGAATTCCTAAGGATCCCACCAATTGCTAGAATCTCGATAGGGTCTCGATCTTCCTGGGCCTGGAAATGGGGAGGCTCGAGGCGCTATAACGTCCAAGATGGTCCAAGATGGCTCCCAGAGGGCCTCAGAGAGCCCACGATGGCCTCCACTAAGGCCCAAGGTACTTCAAGATGGCCCAAGGTAGCCTCCGACATACCTCCACGATGCCAAGGTAGATAGCCTCCGACACACCTCCAAGGGGCCTCGAGGTCCCCGAGGGGTTCACGAGACGATTCTTGGGGCCGTCGAAAGGCAAAGCCTCGCAGAAGCCCCGTAGAAGCCCCCGTAGAAGCCTCGCAGAAGCCTTTCAGCAGCCTCTCAGGAGCCTCTCAGGAGCCGCGTAGAAGCCTCGCAGAAGCCTCGCAGAAGCCTAGCAGAAACCTCTCAGAAGCCTCTCAGAAGCCTCTCGGAGCCCTCTCAGAAGCCTCTCAGAAGCCTCGTAGAAGCTTCAGAGGCATACCCCCAATCTGGGCGCTAAGCCTCTCAGAGAAGTCTCTCAGAAAAGCCTCTCAGAGGCCTCCGAGAAGCCTCTCAGAGAAGCCTCTCTGAGGCCTCAGAGAAGCCTCTGAAAGGGCTTCAGAGGAGCCTCTTGAAGGCCTCGCTGAGGCCTCTCAGAGGCCTCGCTGAGAGTTCTGCAGAAGCTCTTCAGAAGATCTTCAGAAGCTCTGCAGAAGCTCTGCAGAAGCTCTGCAGAAGCTATTCAGAAGCTCTGCAGAAGCTCTGCAGAAGCCATTCAGAAGCTCTGCAGACGCTCTGCAGAAGCCATCCAGAAGCTCAGCAGAAGCTCTGCAGAAGCTCTGCAGAAGCCCTGCAGAAGCTCTGCAGAAGCTCTTCGGAAGCTGTTCGGAAGCTTTGGAGAAGCTCTTCGGAAGCTCTTCGGAAGCTCTGTAGAAGCTCTGCGCAAGCTCTGCAGATGCTCTTCGGAAGCTCTGCAGAAGCTCTTCGGAAGCTTTGCAGAAGCTCTTGGATCGAGTGCAATCCGGTGTTCTCCACAATGATTTCTACAGGGATCCTTCAGGTTACGATCAGTCCGTTTCGAGTGTTTGTAATCTGACCGAGGTAGTTGCTGAACAGTCCGAAGTGGCTGTAATCGGTCTTATTATCGGGTCCTCTTGGGGCTGTTTCGGAGCCGTCTTGGAGGCCTCCTGGGCCTTTTCGGGGCGATCTTGGGGGTCTCTTGCGCTGTCATGGAGCGGCGGGAAGTGGAAAATGCGAAAACGCCCAAATCTGAAAACAACCAGCGGGAAATCAATGGGAGTACTATTGGAGGCGTTTTGGGGCGTCCTGGAGACCTCCTGCGCAGCCTGGAGGGCGTGCAGGTGTCTGGGACCGATCGTTTGGCGATTGGGGACCCTCTTGGACCGCCTCGGGGGCCTCCTGGAGCACTCTCGGCCTGTCTTGGTACTTTCTGAGGTCCTAGGACCCCCAGGGGGGATGCGCATCCAAACCGCCCCCCCCCCCCGGACCTCCCCCCCCCTGGCGGGGGAGGGATGAGAGGGAGCGAGGGGCGTCCCTTCGGCTCGATATTGCGACATTGCTGGTTTTTGCTCTCGCCGATACGCTTGAAGAGCAGGGCGCAAGCGGAGGGGACGACGGAGACGACGGCTGACGGAGACGACGCTTCGAACCGACAAGCCCCTCACACACGCCGACATGGTCGGCGGATTCAGTGTTGGTTGTCCGTTGTGGCTCGTGGGTGGTCTGCACGGATGGCGTCCTGGCTACCAGCGAGACGCGACGGACCCGTTTGAGCACCGGGCTCGAACGGTAGAATATCGGGCAGCACCAGCAGGATTTGGGGTCCCATCAAGTGGGGCCCGGCGTGCGGGTAGCGCGGGGGGTCTCCACGGGCATGTGGTCCAGGGTACCCTGCGGCGCCCGCTGCACATCTACGTTTTCGCTCATCGCTTCACATCCTATAACCATCCCTCTCCCGGCGGGAGAAGGATCAAAGGGAAGGGGCTTCCCTTCGAGTGAATGGCGACGTTTTTCCATTTCTTCCGGACTGGCGACGACGAGGATGACGACGACGATGACAACGACGACGGTGACTGCGACGACGTCGACCCGACGACGACGACAGCGTCTTCCCCGCGCCGACAGGGTCGGCGGATTTGAGACGACTGGTACCTAGATCACCCGCGGGAGCGCGAAGATAAACGTGCTTCGCGCGTCGCGGTCTGGGCCAGGGCGGCTGCCCTTCTCCATGGTGGGGCGGCGCGATGGCGCGAAGATGCGTAATCGGGCGTCGCGCATCGCGGGGTGCGATGCGCGAAGTTAGGTGGCCTAGAATACGGCCAGGCCAATCAACTGACTTTCCCACCTCTCTGCCAAACCGCATATTTGGGCTCAAGTCGCAAGGTGTCGCTTCGTCGATCATTCTGGCTGCCAGCCAGTGGCACTGGTTGTTTTTGGAGATGGACCTCATTTCGACCGAACAGGTCGTGGCGGAGTACGTCTCAAGCGTCGCGCCCAGTTCGTCGGCCTTTGGTTTTTTGACCCTGGTGCCGTGGAGCTCGCAGGATCTGCCAGCCAACGTGCTGGCCCCCGAAGCAGACCATGGAGAGATGAGCCAGGGCAGCATCAACCAGATGGTGGAGCAGCACGAGGCTGTGGTGATCCCGTCCGTGTACAAGACAAGGAAGGAGAAGAGGGGCTTGACGCGTCTCTTGGACTATCTGAGGGCCGCGCACCCTGACGCGTTCGTTTTCTTGGTGCAGCTGCCAGATCGGTTGGGTGCCGGGCTGACCAAGGGCTATCTCCGGACCTTGATGGCGAGGCAGGATGCGCTCTACAGCTTTGGGGCGAGCGGAGTGCTGATGGAGCTGGAGGGTGACCCAGAGGGCTTGCTGCAGAAGGTACGTTTGGAGCTTGCTGAGAACGCCGCGATCCAGCTGCGTGTGCAATACTACGAGAGCACCGTGACAGCGGGAGTACCTTCCTCCAACGAGCTCCAGACCATCGAGGACGAACACGACGGTCTTCTCTGGGAGACCATCCCGCAGTTGCTAATGCCCGGTTTTCCTGATCTAGACAAGCGCTTGCTGGAACTTGGGGACAGGGTTGGTGCAGCAGTACGCAAATCATCAGCACGTCTTGTTGGCGGTTAACGGGCAGCACGAGAATGTCGTGATCAAGACTCGCAATAAGCGGAGCAGCACCGCTGCCGAGGAGGTGGAGAGCATCTACCAGGAGTTCAACCTCCTGACACACACCCTCGACCACCCACACATCATCCGCTGCGTGAGCATGCTGCACAGCCAGTCCTATGTGCACCTGGTGCTCCAGTACTCTGCATGGAGCAAGTGCTGTCGATTCAACCAGGCCGCCATTTGTCCAGGGACGATGCCGTGGACTGCACCATCCAGATCGCGAGTGCTCTGTCCCATTGCCACGCCAATGATGTTACTCACGGGCAGGTGTCGCTGAGGCATGTGTCGGTAGAGATGGCGAGGAATCGGCTCGTTTGCCGCCTGGTGGACTTCAGCATGGCAGCCCACGTTCCAGACTCCAGCACGCGGGAGACCATGTGCGGTTCTCTCCCGTGCGTCGCTCCGGAGACAGCGCTGGGGGAGCCGTACTGGCCCAAGCCGGCAGATTGTTGGAGCCTAGGGGTGGTGCTCTTGGAGACCGCTTGCGGGCAAGGCTCGCTCGAGCTCTCGGTGCCATGGCGCCGTTGCGCACACCTCGTGCAGGCCATGCGGGAGATACTCTAGTTCTTCGCCCAAGCCGGCTCCCATGCCCAGGCGATGGCGAGCATGGACGGCGTGCACGACGGAGCGACGTTGGCGTGCCTGGAGGAGTTGCTGAGGCCCGAGCCCCTCCGCAGGGCGAGCGCCTCCGTCGCGGCGGACATGCTGCAGCCAGGCGCGTGAAGGCCGCTCGTTGATGGGTGGTGCTCGGGAAACACATACTGACATAAACTGATGGGCCTGTTTTCCACCACCACCACCATAAGTTGGAGGGTGAGGGGGTCCTCCTCCGCCTCCTCCTCCTCCTCCTCCTCCTCCTCCTTTCCCCCTCCAACTTATGGTGATGGTGGTGGTGGAGAACCGGCCCATTATAAACATCAGATTTCGGAGGTCTGTGCAGATTTCTCCGATCGGCACTAGAGCTCCCTGGCGGCGCCTCGCCTGGCGTGCTCCGCGCGCCAAGGAGAGGGGTCCAGCGCCGATGCAAGAAATCCGCGCAGACCTCCAAAGTCTTTGTTTATGCCCTATTTGTTCCCCGAGATGCGCCCACGCCTGGGGGTTGGCAACTGTCCCTCGAAGAAGAACGGCGCAGTTGCGGCTATCTGCGCAATTTTTCCATGAATTCAGTTCATTCTGGCTCCAGGCAGAATGGGTGTTTTCGCCTCAATGTTTCAAGCTACGCTGCGATGTTCGCAGGCGTTCGTTTTCTGGCGTTTGCCTGAGCGTCTTGATTGAGTGACTCTGTTACGCAATGGCATCCAGTATTTCAACTCGCTGACTCCCACAAGTGATTGTGCTTTGCAGCAGTCCTACATTCTCTGTGGTCGCAGTGGTAATTAGCAAGGTCAACTTGATGTAGTCCAGCGAATTAACAGCCGCTGTTGTATCTTGCACGCCTCTGCGCTTGGCGATATTTGCAGGCGTTCCGTATGCCCCCCCCCGAGACCTCTCTAAATGCATGCCCATGGCAGGAATCGCGTAAGGTGACGGAGGCAGAGGCAAATCCTCGCCCCGAGTAGATGACAGCCTTGCGCGGCAGAAAGCTCTGCATAGTTTTGTACACAATTGCGATGGGGGCCACGCCCAGGTCGGGGGATCGGGATGTGGTAGGGATAGGGGCAGGGAGTGCCACGCGCGGAGATCATGTTGATAATCATCCTACTACTATCATCAATAGGTGTTATGCAACTGCGAACGCTAGTACGACTGTTAACACAGTTGCCTTCGGCCCATCACGCCCTCGTTCCTGGGTTGTTGGTCAGAGTTCTCAGGGATGCTTCTTGGGGTCTCTTCGGGGCGCTCTCGGGCGCCTCCTGTGGGCAGCTCTGGGTCCTCGCGGGAGCCTCCTGGGGGCCTCGGTCCCTTTTGGGGCCTCTTGGGGGCCGCTCGGTGCCTCTTGGGGGCCGCTTGGACCCTCCTGGGCGGGTCCGCGGGGTGGAACTGTCCTTTCGGGTCACCCATCTGCCCGCCCCTTGGAGCCGTTGTTTGGCGTCTTGGGCGCGCCTTGGGCCGTCTCAAGGCCCTCCCTCGTGGACCGTTTTGGAGCCCCCTTGGAGCCCTCTCGGGCCGCCTCGGGGCGATGTTTGGGGCCTCTTGGACCGTCTTGGAGCGTCGGGAAGCCGAGCAGGCGAGAACTCGAAAATCCTTCAACAATCAATGGAACATCAAATATTGCGAATGCCTTATGGCCTGTGCCGCCGACCCTGAAGGGGGACGACGACGACGGTGGCGGTGGCGGCGGCGGCGACGACGACGACACTGACGTCGGCCCGAGTCCTCGGGGATGCTTCTTGGGGTCTCTCGGGAAGGCTCTCGGGGGCCTGTGAGGAGGAATGTTGGGGTCTCTCGGGAGCCTCTTTATGGCCTTTGGGGGGCCTTTTCGGGTGTTCTGGGGGCCTCTTTGTGGGCTTCTTGGAGCCTCTTGGGAAGCTCTGGGAAGCTCCTCCTGTGAGCTTCTTGGGGCCGAGGGCTCGAAATGTCCGTTCGGGCTCCCCTGTCACGGCACGCTCTTGGAGCCGTCTTGGGGGTTCTGGGGCCGCCTTGGACACGTTTTGGGCTGTCTTGGGGTTCTTTTGGAGCGCTCTTGGAAGCCTCTTGGGCCGTCTTGGGGCGATCTTGAGCGGCGGGAAACGGAAAAGGCAAGAACGCCCAAATATGTCAAAAACCATTGAACAATCAATGTCTTTTTGCCTCTTGGGCCCTCTCGGGAATGCTTTTGGAGGCCTCTTGTGGCGTCTTGGATGTATCCTTGGTAGTCTGGGAGCGTGAAGGCGTTTTGGACCGATCGTTTGGCGATTGGGGCCCTCTTGGACTGTCTCGGGGGCCTCTCGGGGCACTCCTGGCTTGTTTGGGTACTTCGTGCTTCCCCGAGACCCCCAGGGGTGGATACGTATCTGACCCCCCCCAGGACCCACCCACCCCCGACGGGGGATGGATCAAAGGGAAGGGGCTTCCCTTCGATTCGATTGCGACATTGTGAGTTTTTCTCTCGCTGACAGGCTTGAGGAGGGTGCAGGGGAAGGGGGCGACGCAGACGACGACTGACGGAGACGACGACTTCGAAAAGACAAACCCTCGCACACGCCAGCAGGGTCGGCGGAGTTGCGCTTGCCTATGTTGACGGGCAAATTTCCATCACCACTACCACATGTAGGACGGGGGAGAAGGGAGGATGAGGAGCTCCTCCTCTTCTTATTATTCTTATTCGTCTTCTCATTATCGTATTGTTCTTCTTATTGGTATTATTATTCTTCTTATTAATATTCTTATGATTCGTCTTCTTCTGCTTCTTCTTCTTCTTATTATTATTATTATTATTATTCGTCTTCTTCTTCTGATTATTCTTCGTTTTTATGCTAGTCGCGTGTCCTGACAGTGGAGAATGGCCGGTGAACGGCCCACTGCCGAGCGACGAATGAGTTGCCTAGGGCAGCCCGCGAGGCGTGCATTTTTTTTGCGCCCGCAGCCCTCGCCAGCAGGTCCCACACTGCTGGTGTTGCTAATCAGTGGTGGGGCCGTTGAGGCCAAGTAGCTCTCCTCATGCTCCTCCCGATCCTGCTTCCCTCCCTTTCCTCCTTCCTTACTGCCCCCGCTCTTGCTCCTGCTCCTCGTGCTCCTGCTCCTGGTGCTCCTCCTCCTCCTCCTCCTCCTCCTCCTCCTCCTCCTCCAGGTTGTCCTTCAGTGGAGCACGGGAGTAATTTAATTCCGACTGTCGCTCCAATGGCGTTTGCTGTGGCCAGGATTGTCCTTGGCCCCAACGCCTGGCCTTCCGCTTGTTCGTGTGTGTGCACGCGTGCGTCTCGCGTGGAGGTGCCAACTGCTCGGGTGTATGAGGACAATCCGCCCATTGTCCTTGTTGGAGGCCCCAACATACTCGCAGCCCAGCGTTCTGGCTGGTTTCCGCTTGTCCTCTTGTTCTGTCGAGGGATGGCGGTCTGCGCTGCTTCCACTTGCAGGATCCTGCTGGTGGCATTCTTCCCGCCTAACTCTGGTGGGTTTTTTGTCGGGCGCCCTCCTGTGTTGAGGGCCTCGTTTTCTTGCTCCTCGTGTGGAGGACTGTGGCACTGTGCATCTGCCGTGCCCCTGACTGGCCCTTGTCCAGGTGTAGCAGGGTCCCCTTGGTCCCTGTGTGCCTGTGAGGGGCCACCCAGAGGTGGGTCTCTGTTGCCTGGCCTCGCGGAGCGCCCAGACACACCCACCTCTCTTTCGCAGATGGAAACCGTGCCGATCGCTCAGTGCGGTCGGGCACGGCTCGTTTGCTGTTGTCCCTCAGGGCCTCGCCCACCCTGAGTGGTGTATGTGGGCTGCAGCATGGTCCCATGGAAAAAAAATCTTCCTCCTCCTCGTCCTTCTCCTCCTCCTCCTCCAACCACGTGTTTTTCCCGGAAAGGGCATGGGCCCAGGGTTCTCTTTTAGATGGTCTTCCCCCCGGTTTTTACTTGAAGGGGGCCGGCGGAATTCTTGTGCGATAAATTACGAGGTCGAAGGGGGCCAGCTGATTCCAACTGTGAGGACGAAGGCCATTTTTCGCCACCCCTCACGCAGATCGTGCTCTTGGAATTTTATTGCCTTTAAGGAAACCTCGATATTTCAAAGGTGAAGTCCACTTTTTTCCGACATCGACTTTAAACTATAAAAAACTAGGTAAACGCACTCGCTCGATAAATAACGAGGTACCGCGGCCTCCGGAACGGCGCTGGGAACGGAGCTTTGGATTCTTGAAGTTGCATAAGTTCTGACCCCGCCGATCTGCGTGAGGGGTGGCGCGGAATTCCAGAAATGTGGCAAATCCCTGTGTTTTTGGACCCTGACCCCGCCGATCTGCGTGAGGGGTGGTACGGAATTCCAGAAATGTGGCAAATCCCCTGTGTTTTCGGATCCTGACCCCGCCGACCTGCGTGAGGGGTGGCACCGAATTTCAGAAATGTGGCAAGTCCCATGTGTTTTCGGACCTTGACTTCGCCCAGGAGGGCTAGGAGGTTCCAGGAGCGCCCAGGAGAGCCCAGGAGAGCCCAGGAGGGCCCAGGAGAGCCCAGGAGGGCCCAGGAGGATCCAGGAGGCTCCAAGAGGCACCAGGGGGCCCAAGGAGGGCCCAGGAGAAGCTCCAGGAGGCTCCAGGAGAGCCCAGGAGGGCCCAAGAGGTCCAAGGAAGACCCAGGAGGGCCCAGGAGCCCTTACGAGGGATCGTGGCCCTGGGAGCGCTGACGTAGCGTAATTTACGAGGGATCGTGGCCCTGGGAGCGCGGGTGTAGTGTAATTTACGAGGGATCGTAGCCCTGGGAGCGCGGACGCAGTGTAATTTACAAGGGATCGCGGCCCTGGGAGCGCGGGCGCAGCGTAATTTACGAGGGATCGTGGCCCTGGGAGCGCCGTGAAAGTTTTCCGTGTAAAAAATCTGGCTTCCTTGCCCGTCGCGCTGCCTGCGCGGCGCCGCCAAGCCCGGGCCCCGAGGCTCAGCGCCGCGGGCGCCGCCAGAGGGATCCCCCTCGACGCAGCGCCGCGGCGCCAAGCCCAGCGGCCGCAAAGCACAGCGCCGGCGGGCGGCGAGGCCGAGGCTCAGCGCCGCGGGCGCCGCCAGAGGGACCCCCCTCGACGCAGCGCCGCGGCGCCAAGCCCAGCGGCCACGAGCGCAACTCGCTCACAACCGCTTGCGCGCTCCCAAGCCGCTTCCGGGAGGCCCCCAGACAAGCCCAAGAAGGCCCCAAAACGGCGCCAAGAGGGCCCCCAGAGGGCCCGAAGACGGTCCGTGAAGCACCAACTTAAGGTGAGAACTTTTTTCTCACCTTGACTTCCCGTCTGAAACGGCCTCCAGCGCGCCCAAGGCGCCCCCGAGAGGCCCCCAGACAGGCCCAAGAAGGCCCCAAAACGGCGCCAAGAGGGCCCCCAGAGGGCCCGAAGACGGTCCGTGAAGCACCAACTTAAGGTGAGAACTTTTTCTCACCTTGACTTCCCGTCTGAAACGGCCTCCAGCGCGCCCAAGGCGCCCCCGAGAGGCCCCCAGACCGGCCCAAGAAGGCCCCAAAACGGCGCCAAGAGGGCCCCCAGAGGGCCCGAAGACGGTCCGAGAAGCACCAACTTAAGGTGAGAACTTTTTTCTCACCTTGACTTCCCGTCTGAAACGGCCTCCAGCGCGCCCAAGGCGCCCCCGAGAGGCCCCCAGACAGGCCCAAGAAAGGCCCCAAAACGGCGCCAAGAGGACCCCCAGAGGGCCCGAAGACGGTCCGAGAAGCACCAACTTAAGGTGAGAACTTTTTCTCACCTTGACTTCCCGTCTGAAACGGCCTCCAGCGCGCCCAAGGCGCTCCCGGGAGGCCCCCAGACAGGCCCAAGAAGGCCCCAAAACGGCGCCAAGAGGGCCCCCAGAGGGCCCGAAGACGGTCCGAGAAGCACCAACTTAAGGTGAGAACTTTTTTCTCACCTTGACTTCCCGTCTGAAACGGCCTCCAGCGCGCCCAAGGCGCCCCCGAGAGGCCCCCAGACAGGCCCAAGAAGGCCCCAAAACGGCGCCAAGAGGGCCCCCAGAGGGCCCGAAGACGGTCCGAGAAGCACCAACTTAAGGTGAGAACTTTTTCTCACCTTGACTTCCCGTCTGAAACGGCCTCCAGCGCGCCCAAGGCGCCCCCGAGAGGCCCCCAGACCGGCCCAAGAAGGCCCCAAAACGGCGCCAAGAGGGCCCCCAGAGGGCCCGAAGACGGTCCGAGAAGCACCAACTTAAGGTGAGAACTTTTTTCTCACCTTGACTTCCCGTCTGAAACGGCCTCCAGCGCGCCCAAGGCGCCCCCGAGAGGCCCCAGACAGGCCCAAGAAGGCCCCAAAACGGCGCCAAGAGGACCCCCAGAGAGCCCGAAGACGGTCCGTGAAGCACCAACTTAAGGTGAGAACTTTTTTCTCACCTTGACTTCCCGTCTGAAACGGCCTCCAGCGCGCCCAAGGCGCTCCCGGGAGGCCCCCAGACAGGCCCAAGAGAAGCGAAGAGGCCCCCAAGACGGCCCAAGAGGCCCCCAAGACGAGTCCCAAGAGGGCCCAGCCAGAAACAAATAATATGTTTCTGGGCGCGGCCCTCGTAGATACCGTCGGGAGATTTTCAAGTGCCCTTGCCGCCCCCCCAAGAGGGGCCCAGGAGATCCGAATAGGCCTCCAAGACGGCCCAGGAGGCTCCCAAGACGGCTCCCAAACAAGCCCAAGAGGCTCCGAAGACGGCCTAAAGGGCCTCCAAGACCACTTCCAACAGGGACCACCCAGAAAAATATAATATTTTTCTGGGCGCGGCCCTCGTAGATTCCGCTTGGACAGCCTGTCCAGGGCACGTCCTACGGTGCGACCCCATGGCACGTCCCCTGGCACGTCGCCTGGCGCGTCCCTTGGGACGTTTCGCAGCGCGTCCTCCTGGCATGTCCCCCTGTCAATTAGCTCTGGGGCAGCTTCTATGTGTTCAGGCAGCTCGAGCTTAAGATCCAGATCAGTTCGGTCAGGACTCGGATGCAAAGAAAGACTCGATCCACGACGCTATAGAGCACAACCGCGGCATGGCACATCGCAATTCAGCACGGTGCAGCACAGCACAGTCCTCGGCACGGTACATCAAGAACCAGCATTGCACTTGCCCGTCACCCAATCAGGTGTCTCTGAACGCGTTGCCATGCGTTACATTTCTATATTCCTTTCCGGGTTCGTGGGTCGATCATGTTTCATGCTCAGGCCACCCAGGGAGATCTCTAACATGATTGTCCCGAGCTGGAACCACGTGTTTTACGTGTCCAGGCCACCCAGGGGGTATCTCTCATGGTTGTCCCGAGCTGGCACCGTGTTTTTATGTGTCCAGGCCACCAACACGACGCTTGTCCCCAGCACGTCCTGTAGCGCGTCCCCTTGGCACGTCTCGCGGTGCGTCCCCGTGGCACGTCCCCTGGCACGTCGCCTGGCGCGTCCCTTGGAACGTTCCGCGGCGCGTCTTCCTGGCATGTTTCCTTGTCAATTAGCTCTGCGGCAGCTACTGCGTGGACTACGTGCTCAGGCAGCTCGAGCTTAAGATCCAGATCAGTTCGGTCAGGACTCGGATGCAACGGAGGATTCGATCCACAACGCTATAGAGCACAATCGTCACGTGGCACATCGCAGTTCAGCACGGCGCAGCACAGCACAGCCCTCGGCACATTACATCAAGATCGATACACTCACTCAGCATTGCAACTTGGCACGTTCTTTGGCACGTTCAGGGCGCGTCCTGTGGCGAGTCCCCCTGGCACGTCGCGCGGCGCGTCCCCTGGCACGTCCCGTGGCACGTCCATTGGCACGTTCCGTAGCGCGTCCCCTTGGCACGTCCCGCGGTGCGTCCCCGTGGCACGTCCCCTGGCACCTCGCTTGGTGCGTCTCTTGGCACGTCCCGTGGCACGTCCATTGGCACATTCCGTAGCGCGTCCCCTTGGCACGTCCCGCGGTGCGACCCCATGGCACGTCCCCTGGCACGTCGCCTGGCGCGTCCCTTGGGACGTTCTGCGGCGCGTCCTCCTGGCATGTTCCCTTGTCAATCAACTCTGGGGCAGCTACTAGTTATGTGCTTAGGCAGCTCGAGCTTAAGATCCAGATCAGTTCGGTCAGGACTCGGATGCAAAGGAGGACTCGATCCACAACGCTATAGAGCACACTCGTGGCATGGCACATCGCAATTCAGCACGGCACAGCACAGCACAGCCCTCGGCACGGTACATCAAGGTCGATACACTAAGCATTGCATTTGCCCGTCGCCCAATCAGGTGTCTTTGAAAGCGTTGCCATGCGTTACATTTCTATATTCCTTTCCGGGTTCGTGGGTCGATCATGTTTCATGCTCAGGCCACCCAGGGAGATCTCTAACATGATTGTCCCGAGCTGGAACCACGTGTTTTACGTGTCCAGGCCACCCAGGGGGTATCTCTCATGGTTGTCCCGAGTTGGCACCGTGTTTTTACGTGTCCAGGCCACCAACACGACGCTTGTCCCCAGCACGTTCTGTAGCGCGTCCCCTTGGCACGTCTCGCGGTGCGTCCCCGTGGCACGTCCCCTGGCACGTCGCCTGGCGCGTCCCTTGGAACGTTCCGCGGCGCGTCTTCCTGGCATGTTTCCTTGTCAATTAGCTCTGCGGCAGCTACTGCGTGGACTATGTGCTCAGGCAGCTCGAGCTTAAGATCCAGATCAGTTCGGTCAGGACTCGGATGCAACGGAGGACTCGATCCACAACGCTGTAGAGCACAATCGCGGCATGGCACATCGCAGTTCAGCACGGCGCAGCACAGCACAGCCCTCGGCACATTACATCAAGATCGGTACACTCACTCAGCATTGCAACT